TGCGGGGGGGATAAAATAAACTCTGATGTATACAATGGAATACCGAAAAGTCCGACACACGGCCCCCACCCCCCTCCCCGCACCGCTCACGCACCCGCAAGGCATTACCCCACACCCATCCTCACATCCTAACGCAGCCAAAACAGTAGAGACAAAGAGCAGCACTTTCCCCAGACACTAAATGTCAAGATATTTCCCTTAAAATGAAGTAGGCAATCGCATACGTCTTATTTCGTGCGGTCTGGGTGGGGGGGAAGAAAGGGTGGTGGGGGGGGGGTGGGTCCTTTCTTTCACAGACACTGAAGGCGAACATCTATTTCCCAGCCTAGGTGTGATCCCGGCTGCTGTAACGCACCTTTGCTCGCTGAGTTTGGGGATAAAGGACTGAAAAGATGCGCCGTTTCTTCCCCATTTCAACCCCAAAGTGCCCAAATCGGACAACTTCTTTCTTCCTTTCCCCCCACCACCCCCCCTTCCTTTTGCTCTCCCGTCCTTTTTATTCGCTGCGCTTATCGCATGGGCAGGCAGAGGGGTTTTAAAAATAGAGATGCTATCGATTAGAGGAGGAAAACGGTTACCTCGGCTATTAGCTGTTAATTAAGGAGCCTCCGTCCCTGAGTGCTGTGATCTGCCGGGTTTGGGGGGGTCTCTCCGTTGGGAACGGGGGACCTGGAAGGGGTGGGGGTGGAGGTGGGTGAGTTCTGGCGAAATGAACGTGGTCATTGTGGCGTCCTTGGGAGCGTTCGGGGATGGAGAGCATTTCCTCTCAGCGAACGCAGACTCGATTTTGGTGAATATTTCCACAACAGGAGGTGGGAAAAAGAAAAAAAAAGAAAAAAAAAAAGAAAAAAAAAAAGCCCAACAAACCCACCGTTGTGCTGCACCGCTCATTGTTTGTTCACTGAATGGGGGTGGGGGGCACAACCCCGACCCACGGACCCCTTCTGGAAGCAGAAAAGCACCTCTGGTTCCGAAAACCTCATAAAGATGGAGCGGCGGCTGCTGCCCCTCTGCCCCAATTGGGGATGGGGGATGTGGGGGGGTCTGCACCCATCCGGCTCCCATCTCAACAGAGGTTCGGGCCGCTCGAAAGGAGATAAACGCGGAGGAAATGACCTTTGCTGGGAAGAAAAGCACCTAAAAACCATCTCCGAGGCGATG